AGCTAGAAGCAGGTTGAACGTGTTTCCTTGCCTCTCAGGCAGATGCACTGTGACTTCGAAGGAAGCCCCAATTGGTCGACTCTTACGACATGCTTGTTGAGAAGGCAGAGCGTCTAATCTTTTCCATACAATGGGCCGCGGGACCCACACGGAGATTTTTGGTGATTTAATAATGCACGATCAGCTTCTGTGGCTTGGGCGTTTAGAACGCGCTTTGTTATTCCAAGGTGTCCGGTTCGACCCCAGCTGCGTGCGATCTGACAGCAGACCACCTGGCATTAGTCTCAACAAGGGTATCGAGAGTCGACCGTTACAAGGCATTACGGTGTACTGTTGCTGTGTTTGTTATTCGACCTGTGCTTCTTGAATATAAATTTCGGTAACATATGGTGCCATTTCAATGGTTTGAGATGAATTCTGTGCGTATTCCATAGTTGTGGATTTCAAGCTTTAGGACAAACATGTTAACCATGTTCTTAGTGCACTCATTTCCATGTTGGCGACTGTGTTCTTCCATCCTTCTTCTTTCTATGAGTGCCAATCAAAACATTGTCTGTTTGTTTATTACATTTAATATTTATACAGCCTCAAGGGTTCCCTCACTGTTTATGTATGTGAAGTAGGTAATTGCGAACTACTGAACTTAAAAATGCCTGGCGAAATCCCAAACAGCCAAACGTTCTGTAAGGATACGCAACTAACTTTACAGAATGTTGCACAGCTTATGTATTAATTGTAAAAGATTGTTAAAGTATGGATGGTTAAGTTTATTATATTTTAAGGTACTTTTTAAACATGATGATAATCATATTTGGATTATATTAGGACTTATTTTCGGGTTAGGTCTTATTTTCCAGGAAACACGACAGGAACAAACGGGCAGATGAAAGTGTCCAGCTACCGACTTCCGGTTGCAATGTATCGACTGCTCAGTTGCTGTTGTATTTTGTTGGGAGTTGTTTGCTGAGAGAATGAGGAATATGTAAACCTGACTGGTCAATTGTCTTAGCTTGCAGGTGCATACTGGTTTATTAATTTGTTATTTTTGTGTATCGTAGTATTATTAATTAAGAAATGCAGGTATATAACAAAATGGTTATTTACGGTTGATTTGCATCAGAAGAAAGCAGCAGCAGCAGATAAGTTCGTGGGACGTGATATTATAACCGTGATGTGTTTTTCTTTGCGTTGAGAGAATCGAATGATAGTGAGAAGCATTAATTTATAATACAAATTGAGGGTTAAAAGTTAGTTGCATATCCTTTACATGACGTTGCAGAACCAACCCCAGCATTTTTTTGCTGTTATGGTTTTTCTTCGCAGATTGTGCCATTGCTTCTTAACGGTCATCTGTTTGTACCACTGTCGAAACCAACACAAGACTACCTAACCGTCCGCAGCTAAGATCGAACCCGGTACCCTGGCATTGCGAAGCACGTTTGCAAAACCTAAGCCACAGCTGCCGACAGACTAAGTAGCAGGTCCTTTGCAGAACGTCGTTCTCCCGCCTCATGCACTTTCACACTCAAGGAGTCACTTATTTCCTGTGCACATATTCGTGTAGGTCGGCCCCTCCTTCCTGGTACCATGCCTTCTGCTATAATTTTTTCCAATCCCTCGTGGCGCTTGATATGACCAAAATATTTCAGCTTTCGAAAAAGGATGCTGTTTATTAGCGAATCTTCCTTGATGTTCAGATCTTTTAAGATGTCATTATTTCTCATCTTCTTTGTCCAAGATATTCTGAGAATCTTTCTATAGCATTTCAGCTCAAAAGCCCCTATTCTCTTTCTTAAGGACTGAGAGATAGTCCACGACTCACATCCGTATGTAGCCACAGGGAAGATGCATGCTCTCAAAATTATAATTTTCATCTCCTTGCTGGTACTTAACTATAGACTTTTAAGGCTGTTCAAACTTTGCATTGCTGTGGCCATCCTCCTTTTAATTTCTGTCGAACAGTCTCTATTGCTGTTTATTATAGAGCCTAGATATTCAAAGTTTGTGACATTTTCAATTTCTTCATCATTTATTGTTATTTTTGAGTGACAGCCAGTTTTATCTGTGGATATTATTTTCATTTTCTTTACATTTAAGAACATATTTTGATCTTCACTGTGCTTTTGGACAGACAATATTAAAGTAGTAGTAGTACAGCATTTAAAAATAAGCTTCATGGGTAATATTTTTTCTGTAATGGAATGGATTATAACCTTACATAATGAATAATGATAATGCTAACCAGTTGTATGAATGAAACTACTTTGCTGCAATATATTTTAATAAAATTGCAGTTTAGTTTTAAAATTTTTAATGAAATTAAATAATTTAATAAAAAGATTTCTAATTAAAAATATGTACCTTACAAAAATGTTTATAGTGCTGGCAAAATCCAACTCAGTTTCTCTTTACCACATCAGGTCACTGCATCATTAATAAGGGGACATATGTTTTAAGTAATTTATTTAGTCCCATGGAAGGCATCAAACATTTATAGGTGCAGTGACTCTCTTTGGGCTCTAATCATGCACCCTGCAGCAGACTTTGCTCCGACTGATTGACAGATACTTCAACGCAACAAGCTTAAACAGGAACAAACGTTGAGAAACACTGAACATCTGATTAAGATTCAGTTTATTCTCCAACAACGTCCTCTCGATCCATCAATGCGCCAGAGGTATATCATCTAGGGAGCTAGCTATGTTCAGATGCATCTATTTACTTACATCAACTATGCAGGATTCCCACTGTCAGTACATCTCATGCTTGCACTTCACGGCTCCTAAATCCGCATTCACAAACTGCACTGCTGATTTCTCGCCTCCATTCTGTGTTGTCAGGGATTGATTAGACAGGTTTCTTTGGGCTAGTGGGTTGAAGACATTCACTTGTTCTACTCAGGATAATTCAGCTCAGGCACTGCAACTGCCACAAGACCAGATCAAAAACAGGTTCTCCCTATCTCATTCTCTCACAGTATAAATAGCCTCTTCCTTTCTTCATGAACTTCCAAACTGTTCTCAATCATTCATGTTTTCCTCGCTTATCATGCTTTTGGCCAAACTGCACAGAATTCATGTTTGCCTCAATCTGTTCACACATATATTATTCTTAAAACCACCCATTCAGAATAGTTTATGATAAAGAGATACAAAGGATCCCCATGTGGGTTTCGGGGTCCCATTGTGAGGAAAACAAGAATAGACCCACTGTCTTCCTAGCAAGCAGGTCGTTAGGAGTCGACTATTTAAAATCCAGAGGTGGATGAACATCCAGATCTTTCCGCCGGAGTTTACAATTGGTGAATACAAAAAAAAAAAAGGAGGAGAAAATGATCCCTTACAATAGGTTCCTGCCTAGAAGCCCAGTGAATGCAAGATGTGCCAATTTTAAGTTTTTGTTTTTACCACACATTGAGTCTCTTACACTAAACCACATGGGACAGAAAGAGTTAACTTTCACTTTGATTTGCACAAATGACAAATAGGAATAAATGAAAATGATTTTACCTGCTGTTGGAACAGTGTATGAAGCTCCCCATATGGATTTTGGGGGATAAAGAATAGATCCACTGCTTCATGCCGAACTTGTTGTAAAGGACGACTTAGTGGGGTTTTGCTGAAATCAGATCTGTTGGGCTGAAAGTTGCAGATTTCACAGCTAGATGTAAACCACAACATGCCAGCTGTCCTTTTAGTGACAAACACAGCAGAAGAAGTGTCTGAAACCACATGTATTGTAATTAATATGGCAAATCCATATGTGGGTTCCGGGGCCCCATTGTGGGGGAAAATAAGAATAGACCCATTCCCTCCTCAACAAGCATGTCTTAAAAGTCTACTTATTGGGGCTTCCTTCGAAGTGAGAGTGCATCTGCCTAAGATGCAAGGAACCAACAATCTGAATAGTATGAGTCATATCTGTAAAACGGATGTACAGACAACAATATGATTGTGGAACAAAACTAGTCCAGAGGTGGACAATAAACCAGAGCTACTTTCCACTAGAGTTTACAGCTGGTGAATGTGAAGAAGAAGAATATGAAAAGTATCTTTAAAAAATTGCCAGAAATAGGAGACGCTAGGAAATCGAGGCTTAGTATTCTTATAAATCATGGCATCATGAGGGCTTATAGTGTTGGGGTGTATAGAGAGAATGGCTGATAACAGAGAGATAATAACTGCATACACAGAAGAGCAGAGAGGGAGTAGACCATGAAGCCGACCAAAAAGGCAGTGGAGAGATAAGACAGGCAATCCTAAAAACAAGTTAAAATCATCTGCTGGAAAGAGAAGGCTGCTCACAGAGATGAGTGAAGGCGGGTGGTATCCGCAGCCATGAACCTCAAGGTAATTGGATGATAAAAAAAAAGAAATAAAGGATTGGAAGACTCTCCCTGAAATTGTGGTCGGTCTGTATTCCTTTGGAGGGATAAAAGAAGAATTGATTATTAAAGTATGGATTCATTTGTGCCTGTCTCATCTTCGTGACATGGCGGTTAAATTTGTATTTAACTTGTGAAACAGAAATATGTTGGATAGATGGGATGATCTGGGGAGGGGAGAAAGAATAGACGTACTTGCCCCCCCCTCCCCCCCCCCTCCAACAAGCATGTCATAAAAGTAGACAAATTAGGAGTGTTTCTTTCAAAGTCGGAGTGCATCAGGCAGATCAGGAACAGTCTGCAAAATAGATATACTAGATCTGTAAAAGGATGTGCACATAAAACCCAGGTTCTGAAACAAGACCAAAGTCCAGAGGTAAACAATCAGAACTTTGCATTAGAGTTTTCAGCCGGTGAACGTGAAGAACAAGAAGATGGGGTGAAAAAACCCACTAACTGATAAGAAAAAAGAACTCCTACTTTGTGCTGTCTTACATCTCATGTGCAACTGTAATAGATTTATAACTTATATTTTACGTTATATTTACAGATTTCTAAGATTACCTGAAGTCGAGTGAATTGCACTTCAGTTAAAGGAATTGTGGTGCCTGTAGTAATGTCCCAGTCTGGTTCAGGCGGGACGTCTTCTTCGCCATCATCTCAGGCTTCAACATGTAAGTTTTCTTTCCTGCATTGTCTGTTTGATGTTTGTCTGCTGTCACTTTTGTGATTTATTATTAATATTTATGTGGTTAATATTTTGTGTTATGTTTTGATCATTATTACAAGCTTTGAAGGTTCTATGGTGCGAGCTCAATATATCCACATTTTCAGAAGTATTATAATTATTTGTATGATCTGTTTGTAATATCTTGCACATTGACACACATTTTTGTTTTTATAAATATTAGAACCATTTTTTATGATTAAAATGTTGCATGAGTAACCTGATGATTCTACGTTGTCTTTTTCTGCACTCATACAGTATTTTATTTTTATAGTTGGGTGGTATTTGCTTGTGTCTCTGTACAGCATAGATGTGATTTTTTGTTGGAGACCTGGTCAACGAAAAATCCACCTTTGATGCATTTAAAACAGGCCCAGTAGGCCAAAATGGTAGCCACTTTTTTAGCAGCCATTTGATTATACTTACTGAAGAGATAAAAGATTGAAGAAAATAATCACATATGATAGCATATGTCGGTCATATAGTGTGATTCATTTCATTCCTAGTAAGGACTTGTTCTTACCAGGGCACATTTAGCGGGGTGCTTTGTCTCCTGTGGCACAAATGCCGCTACACTCTCATCATCTCAGGTGCTGCTGTGTTATATGGTGCTAGCCCCATACTGAACGTTGAATTAAGAATCAACATCATAGCATTTGGGACACCCTCATAAGCGCTCCATCTCCATCTTCAGCAGCAAGCGAAGAGTTCCAGTTCTGATGGTACCAGTAACAGTAACTGTCTGATTGTAAATCCGTCTCGCCTTTCCCTTGAGTTTATATCCGTCTTGCCTTTCCCTTTAGTTTTTTGCAATGGCCAGATCCCCTAGTAACTAACTTTTCTATTGTAGGGCTTGCTTGCAACCAGCCCCTGAGTAAACTTAGTTGAATAGCCCTGTTATAGTTACTGCCATGTGGCATTGTAGTCACATCTTTCCACAACCTCCTGGAAATACTGGAAGGTACCAGCTCGTCAGCTTAGTTTAGTTTTGCCAACAGAAAAATGTGATAGCAACTTGGCTATCACCAATCCGTCTTCCTTAGGAATACCTTTAAATGGACACTGCATGGTATTTATGTGTAATGCAAGCAGTAATAAAAAGAATCATCGCCAGAGCTAGGAAAAACATGCTGTGTGTTTGATACCATCTTCATGTGGCAAAAGAGAGGGTAGAAGAGGATAAGTCGAGGGAATACTTAGATCACATATGGCTCACAGCCTAATCCTCCATTTTGTTCTGTTCTGTGCAGTCAGTTTAATATTGTGGATTCAGTCCAGTCCAGCAGCTTTAACCTCTCTCATCAACGTTAGTTTCTGAGTTTCTTTTGGGTGTTCTCGCCTCCTTAATCCCTTTATTTCTGATTGTAATGCCTGTTTGGTGATTCTCATTCCAGCATATTCTCCTGTTTTAAATGACTAAAATATGCTGTGTTATATTTTGAAAGATGAAATTGTGAAATTTCCCTGGCGGCGAGAGTCGGCTCAGGACATTGTCATACCAGGCGTCAGTAAAGATGCTAAGTCTGGAGAGTTTATACTGCAGAACTTGTTCCTGGAATTTTGTCGGGTCACAGAACGGAGGATCGAAATTGTTTTGGCCGAACCATTGGTATGTGAGTTTTAGGAAATATTAAGTATTATGAAACTAGATTTGTTTTGTAACTTTTTCCCCACTCATTATGACGAAAGAAAGTACGGTAAGTGCTTAGAATTGCTTGCAAACAAGTTTAATATTATAATGTGAAGTTTTCTTCTTGCCCGTATCTCCTTTTGGAGCATAGGCACAAAGCCATCCTTTTTTTTTTGCCATCTCCAACAGCTCACTCTATGCCCTCTTTGTGTTAATCATTTCTATTCCTAATTGTCTTCTCCATCTTGTTAGGTCTTCTTCTGTCTGTTTTGCCCTGTTCATTAGTTCTTCCTTGATCTTAACCCTTCCTGTGTGGGATCCGGGGCCCCATTGTAGGGAAAACAAAAATAGACCCACTGCCTCCCCAACAAGCATGTCATAGGAGTTGACTGATCAGGACTTTCTTCGAAGTCAGAGTGCATCTGCCCTAGCGGCAAGGAGCAACCAGCTGCACACAAATAAGCCTGTCAAATGGATGCACATGCAAACTCATGCCTTTGCACAAAGCTAAAGTTCAGATAGACGAACTACCAGGCTTTCTGCCGCAGCTAATAGTCGGTGAACAAAGAAGAAGGAGAAGATCCTAACCCTTTTGCTCGGTAACGGTAGAATAATTGGGCCACAACCAAATTGTAATTCCCGGAAATATTTTTTTGTTGTTTGTTTTGTTTCAAACAGATTACTAATAAATTTTATAAGAATTGATTTATCTACGTGTTATAGTTTGTGTTTGAAATATAGGAAGGAAATAATAAGTAAAAATGAACAGAGTGAAGCATTAAACGGAATAAACTCCCTGGTGCCTTAAAAGATGTATGTATTGAGTGACGGATACCATGACTTCGCGACCTCTATTATTGAGGCTTATGGGAAGCTTTAATAAAACTGTTTGGTCCACATGAAAACCTTCTACAATGCTATTATTAGTAGTTACTAGCTTCTTGGGGTGACAAGGTTACAAAAATAATTCATTTCCTTTTTTTAAAGACAGTTTTATGATTGGCTTATGACTGGAGCTTTCTATTGACAAGTTCAGTGCTTGGTGCAGCCCTGTGAGCTGTGTTTTTCATGTGGAATGCCTTTCATTTGTGCATCAGTTTTGTCTTGGTATTCAGTAAAGCTGCTTTACATGTGAACTAGTGAAATAATGTAATAATTTTACATGTCTTTAGCCAGCTTATCGTACCCGACTACGTCCATCAACGATAAACTGCATTTCTGGTGGCGACTGTTTGCTTTGGCATCTCTAGCAACTGCCATATGAATTTACTGCATGCACATATTTCTGGACTGTACCGGGACTAATGGTTTGTTCAATACTTTTTCAAATGGGACAGTAAGGGACCCCCCCCCCCCCACCCCTCCCCATTTCCGCCCCCTACCACTTGACCCTGGAATCTACACAGGCACAGGGAAATAAAATAATCTAATACCAGTGCTTTGGAATGAAGAGCTACAATTCAGAAAAATCAGCAGCAGCTATCAATATTTGGCAACTAGAGTTTTGCTGTAATGTCTCTTTTCGTTTTGGAAAATGTTTATAAAAAAAACTGGTATCAGTTTAAATCTATATGTGCTGTTTTGGAAGATATTAGAATACACACATGGTTTTGTCCATGTTATAAATAGTACAGTCTCACTAGTAAAAACAAGTATTAATTAAAAAAATCTAAGATTGTTGTATGTCATTAGGAGCAGATGTGAAGTGAACAAGGAATTTGTGTGGCCAAAATAAACATATGCAGTGTAATAAAAAAAAAAAAATAATAAAAAAAGTTGCTATGGCGGCAAACAACTGTCAGTTCCTAGGGACAATGAAGCGGCGATGCTGGTTTTGTTAAGAGTGTCAGCTGTGACAGTAAAGTCCAGTTCAGGATTGGCAATCTGTTGCATGATGAATATGTTGATACTCTATTAACTCTATTATTTTGGGAACCGCGCTCGGGTAGTGGCTAGATGCTTGTCTGAAGATCTAAAGACTTGGTTGAAACCCAGATGGTGCTGAACTGTTTAAAAAAAAGGATCTTGGCTTGGGTCAGCCCAGCCTTAAATTGGAACCAGGTGAAGTCTTGGAAAGTAAAGGTGGCCCAGATAATGCTGACCAGATCACCCACCAAGTGCCGATTGGTCTATAAAATATAGGTCTAGTCATATATGCACAATACGCCTGAAGGTGTGAAAAAGGGTTCTTTACTTAACTCTTTTGTATTCTACCGCTTTGATAGCCTGAAACTATTACCTTGATTAGTTAGATTTGATTTGTAAATTGTGGTCTTAAAACATAACAACTGGAAATATGTACATTTGACCATTCTTTATCTTTGCCAGGAGCGACCATTGTCAAAATCATTGCAAAGAGGAGAGGATGCTCAGTTTGATCAGGTACTAGTAATATTTTTGTACATACATCATGTTTTACTGATCAGATTTCTGATCACTTACTGATGCATAAGAATGAAGAGTGCGAACGTTGCTGACACAACTTGACTGTCAGGGTAGAGTTGTGATACAGTGGGTACCGCCACAATGTGAAGTGCCTGGAAATAAAAAAGCTGACCATCCACGTGTGAGTTCCGGGGCCTTATAGGGAAAACAAGAATAAACTACCCAAAAGCATGATGCTAGCCCCGTACTGAATGTTAAATTAAGAATCAACATCACAGGACTCGGGCCACCCGCATAAGCTCCATCCCAATCTTCAGCAGCAAAACTAATTGGGAGCTTTCTTCAAAGTCACACTGCATCTGGATGAGAGGCAAGGAACCGTCTGCACACAGATGTGTCAGATCTGTCAAATGGAAGCACACGCAACTTCCAGGTTCTGAAACAGGACTGCAGTCTGGAAGGGGACAAACAACCAGATCTTTCCTCTGGAGTTTACAGCCGGTGAACATGAAAAGAGGAAAAGAGCTGACCAAACGGCAGGGCTAAGTGTGACAGAACAGCCGCTGGATGTATCAGTTACATACCATTAAAAGAAAAGGATCATTAAATCAATCAGAAAACCACCAGCTCCAGCACAAGATCACTATTCTGTTATGGAAAGATCAGAATAAGTCATTATCCTATGCCTCAGAACAGGACACAGCCAGTTACGCAACCACATGTACACGACATTTAAGATAAGAGTATCAGCCATGTGCATTTGTGGAAAGTCGCCCAGACTGCAGAACACATACTCTAGGTTTGCACATTAAGGAAACTTTTTGTCCAGAAAGAACAACAGTGAAAAGTACACTCTAAGGAACACTCAGTGAACTAAAAACAACAGTCAAATTTATATGAGAGACAGAATTGCTGATATAGAAAAATTTATTTCATGTGAAAATAATGAAGAGTTGTGGCATTGGTAATTATGTCTGTTCACAGCTTTCTTTCCTAGGTATTGTCAGTAATTTATTATACAAATATTCTTCCATACCATGATGCCACACTGTTCAATATCTTCTATCTTGGTTTTCCCCTCTCTTTCTTGCCCTCTTGCTCTTTCCCCATTGTCACAATTTACTCGTTTTTTCCCCTTCATACAATGAAAGTACCATATTGGGTGGATGGGTGGCTGATTGCCTGTGAATTCTGGAGACTAAAACTCACAGTGTTATAGAATTACAACCAGTCACACAAAAAAAAAAAACAGCTAACCATCCACCCAACATGGCAAATTTATTTCGATGCTGAGACAGACACAACATCTCACCATAAGCCTGTTAGAGAAATGAAGCCTAATACACTGTTCATTGTCATTGCAGATATTGAACGCCCTTGGAAATGTTGCTGAGCACTGTCTGCCTTCTATCCTGAAAACCATTATTGCCTGGTACAATCGGCAGATGAGAGATGACAGCCCATTGCTCGATTCACGCCAGAGACACAGAAGCAAAGGGTAATATAAATTTGCAGTGTAAAAAGCCAAATAAAGTAAAGATCAATTTTCTACACCTCCGTGCTTACTTACTTAGTCGTTTCTCTTTTACCTTGGGGTGTAGAGGTTTGCCAGAGAGATCGCCAGACGTCTCTATCAGCAGTTTTCTTTCTTGCTTTGTTCCATTCCAGTCATCTGTCAGTTAGGGACTGTGTTGGATGTTGTCATCCCAGCGCACCCTGGGTCGCCCTAGAGGTCTGGTTCCCTGATTCTTAGCCTGCCGTGCCTACCATGGTGGCTGATTTTCTCCCATTCTACATACACGTCCAAACCATCGCAACTTAGACTGATCCACTCGGGTTTGTAAGGAGTTCGTATCAAGATCTTGACTTATTGATTCTACACTTCCATGCATATATATTTTATAGACCAATCGTCGCTTAGTGGGTGATGTGAACATCACGCAGGTCGCCTTTATGTCTTAGGATTTTACCTGGTACTTATTTAAAGCTGGTTTGACATGGGAGTCAGGGTCATTTTTGAAACAAAAAGTCTGGTTCTGTTCGCACATTTGCAGTGTGAGTGATTGATTTATATGGAATGAGAATTATTTCCTTGCATCTCTCTAAGTATTAAGCTAAAAACCAAGGTAGAATAAACTGGTACCAGCAGTATTGGAACTCTGCGTTGGCTGCTGAAGATGAGGATGGAGCATGCATTGAAATGCCCTGAGTTCTGTTTTGTCATTTCTTGCCTCAACTCAACTCAAGGCAGATTAAATAATACTTTTACTTTTACCTTTTATCAGCTAATAGAACATGAACCCACTGTCATTTCATCACCTTCAGCTTCTTTCTTGTTTTCACCATATTATCCGTCTTGGTCTCTAGTTATTTTCTCTGAGTGTTTTAAGTCTCCTTCTATTTCTTTCGCTCTGTGGTTTGCTGAGAAAGGATTTTCTAATTATATTCTTGACATATTTTTTTAGTGTGTCCTTACCAACACCAGTGTTTTCCCTCACCTCTTTATTCACTGGAATTTGTTTAATTCTCACCATAAACTACACATTAGTGATTTTATTATACCATTTTATTCCTCCTGCCCTTGTGTAGTTAATGAATGTTTGTAGTTAGTTTATTGGTAACTGTTTTAGTCATTTCTCATTTTTCTGTTCATTTAGAGTACTGATTTGATATTAGTTTTCCCAGTCCCAGTGTGGGTTCTGGGGCCCCAGTGTTAGGGGAAACAAGAATAGACCTACTGCCTCCTCAGGTTAAGGTTTCGTTTAGGTTTAGACAACAGATCAATATTGTGGCACAAGGAGTAACCCATGTGCTCCGTTCTACTTCTGGTTCAAGTCTGGATCAGAAGAATCTCAACGCAATGCACAAACTCCATAGCACCGGCAGGGATCCTGAAATACTTGGGTAGATTTTTAACTCCAAATTTTGCCAGGGCAACTTCGTTTGGCTGCTCTATTTTGATTTCCAACTGCCAGGGGATTTTTTTTTACAACAATACACATGGGTGTCCAATGTTACTACCCAGAGACCAGGGGACATTACTAGACTCCACGTGAAAAAATTACAGCCTTCACCAGTGCCTGAACTCAGGACCTCCAGCACTCGAGGTCGATGCCATGCCTCGAGACCACACACTCTCCCCCCCCCCTCACTCACTGAATCCTCAACAATCAGGGGTCGTTAATTTTGGTTAAAGAAGGGGAGGGGGGGGGGGAAAGGGGGGTAGGTTTCCTTTTGAAATCATAGTTCACCTGCCTCTAAGGGCAGGAACCAACAGTCTGCTTTCAAATAAACCAGATCTATAAAATGAATGTGCATGCAACACTCAGGTTCTGGAACAAGACTAAAGTCTGGAGGTGGATGGACAGCCAGAACTTTCGACCTCAGTTTACATGTATTGAACATGAAGAAAAAAAAATACTCTCCCTTTAAAATCTCTATCCCTTCACTTATTTCTGTATCACTATTTAATATGAGATTAAATAGTATTTCTTGATTATGCATATGTAAGACTTTTTGGCTCTCCTAGCAGATTTGGCCGGCAAGCTAATCTTCTTCGGCCGGCTTAGTGTGGCTTAGTGGGAGTTACGTCCCTTCGCCAAACTCAAAACAAGTCGCGGAAAAAGTCACGAATCAAATGACATACTTACCTATCATCATCCGGGTGCGTGTAGGGTTGCGTAGGGTGTCTATCATCGTCCTACGGTTGCGTGTTGGGCTGCTTATTGCGTGTAGGTTGGTTGTTTGCGTAAAATGAGGGGTGGGGTTAGGGTTTAGGGTTAGGGTTCAGGGTTAGGGTTATGGTTCGATGTGAAAATTTTCACGTAGGAACTCGAAATAGTGGCCGACAATCTGATGCTTGTGGGAGTGGCGCCACTGAAACTCTGCCAAATATGACGCCAATAGCTGCGGCTGGTGCCCAATCGGTGGCGAATTGTCGGTGTCAGTAGCATCCACCGTCCGTCAACTGTTTGCGCGTGCATGCGACTGTGCGCGATTATAGGGAACTACGGCGTCACAATTGTCACATCTAACGCTGCACCTAACCCTAAATCCTAACCCTAAACCCTAACCATAAACCCTAACCCCTAACCCTACCCCTCATCTTACGCAAACAACCAACCTACACGCAATAAGCAGCCCTACACGCAACCGTAGGACGATGATAGACACCCTACGCAACCCTACACGCACCCGGATGATGATAGGTAAGTATGCCATTTGATTCGTGACTTTTTCCGCTCGATGTTTTGAGTGCGGCCACGGGGACATAACTCCCACTAAGTCCCGCTAAGCCGGCCGAAGCAGTCAAAGCAGTGCAGCTTACCAGCCAAATCTGCTAGGAGAGCCGACTTTTTTTATATATGATCGCTTGAGCTGTATTAAACAAGATAACACTTTATATTATTAAAATAACTTGTATAAGATTGTGCACAACTTCCAGCCATTATCTATCCATTTGTGTATGGTTCATTTGATTAAGTGTGGCATTGTTCTGGATGCTTTCACTTGTATATTTGTCCATACTCCCTTGAAGTCGGAGCAAATCTATCTCATAGATGAGGAACCACCACCAGTCTATATACAATTAAGCACTTATGTAAAATGAATGCTAATGCAAAATTCAAGTACTGGAACAAGACTTAAGTCCAGAAGTGGATGAATAACCAGAACTTTCCACCAGAGTTTACAGCTTGGGAATGCTATGAAGAGGAAGAAAATACCCTCTGCTTTATTCATTGATTTTTATTTTTCAGGAGTAAGGATTACATCTGTGAAAGGAGAGATGTAAGTACACATTTATTACAGTTCTGTTCTTGACTCTAGAGCATTGAAAGAGAAGGGAATAAGTAACTTTTCCAAATTCACAACAAGAGTACATTCTGGTGTGGTTACATTGTTCATTAAATATGGTAATTCAAAAACAAAATTTACACCAAAAAAAACCCCAGAAATAACACAAGAAATATGAAAGACATAATACCATGACATGATGCCGTGAACCTTTAATACAGTTCCTCGAGTTATGGTGGACCCCTAAACATACAATAATTTTCGTGCTACTTCACAACTTCAGTGAATATGTTTTTTTTTTATGGTCTTAGGCCACCCCAGTTAAAGGGTTGTTTGACCCCCAAAGTGGTCGCGGCCCAGAGATTGAGAACTGCTGTCTTATGAGAATGAAACATTTATGAACAGCTACCTGTGAGAACCTACAAGATTAGATATAACTGGATATAGATCTAGATGAAGATAATGACTTTGAATTAAATATAGGATCAACTTCATTGCGCTGAGTTTTATCCATAGGCTTGGTCTTTCTCCACATAATGGTTAACCACCTGGTTAACACAAAGCACAAACTCTGTAGCTCTGATGTAGTTTCCCAGGGATCTCTGTAAAATTGTACTCATAAACCTGAGCGCCGCACAGTGAAATGAACTCGCAACCTTATATATGTTTGCAATGACATACAACTGTGTTAATCTGTTAATAATCTGTTAATAAACGGCTTGACCACTTTGCTAAGGAGACACCCCCTCCCCATTTAGAGTACTTTTAGCAAACAGGGATTAGAAGCGACCAAATTGTAGAGCAAGTTTAGGATCCTCACACTTTTATGTGCAAATATAGATTAGAACAGAGACATCTTCCAAATAAGCGGCTATACATAATGTTTGTGGCTTAACAATGACAGTATTGACTTTATTGCACCAAGTTTGATCTCACATGGCTAAGTCTGTCACCACAAAGTGGCCCCAGTGTGTATCACTTTAGAGAGCTACCATATATTGTGCTACATGCTGAAATATCTAGCCAGATTTATTTTGTATGTGCAGACCAAACAAAAGAGATATAGTAGCATACTGTATGTTGCTTGATATATATTGATAATCATATATATTGCATTCTTTGGGACAGAAAGAATAGCAAAAGTAAAGAGGGGTGAAACCTTGAGACCTTCAGAAACACTAGTAAATAGGAACTCTATATTTAGTGAATTATAATGCCCTTTGACATTGTTTGTTCTAGAAAATTACTCTTATATATGTTTGCAATGACATACAACTTGCTGTGTTAATCTGTTATCAATCACATAATGGCACAGGGTAAGAGGGGCAGGGGCCGACAAGCATGAAGATGGGCACAGGCTTTAAGAGTCACCTTGGGTAGGAAAGAGCAGAATGCGGGAGAGCTGAAAAGTTACTGGTTCTTTCAGGCAGGCTTTGGTCAGAGCGACATTTTGTAAAGCTTCTGCTATATGATAATTATCAGTCATGAAAAGCAGTTTAGAACAAAAATGCAGGGAAATGCATTTTACTACAGACTTTAGTAACATATCATGTTTTTATCCCTACCAGTTGGCGCTCGAGTTCATTTACTGCCTTGTTCTCATTGAAGTGTTGTCAAAGGTTAGTTCTTTATAAAAAACATCTTTTCATTGTATTTTATTCTAAATGTTAAATCTGTCGACCTGAGAAAACCATTTCTCTGCTATTGACAGGTGTTTGATATGAAATTTTGGGGCACTGGCTAGCCATGATGACCATATAACAGCTATGGTGTATAACTGCATAGACCTGGTGAATATGACTATATATAGCTCTGAAAAAAAATTATAAGGGGTGAATTTAAAAAAGAAAAAAGGTGACATCATTGTTATGTCACAGTGAGAGATCACTTAGTGATGTCACAATGCTCGGGGGGGGGGGGGGGGGGGGGGGAGCGCTAAGTTGAAAAGGGAAGTAAAGCAGTTACTATTTGCTGCATTTGTATTTAGTGGTTAATTCCCTTAGAGTAAATTTTGTTGCACAAAAAGTGAATAAAACACTTAATATGAACTATTTTGCTGATATGCGGCCACAATAATAACCAAATACCACACTTGCCTGACTACTCTTGTGGTCTAGAGGTTGATCTTCTAGAAGTTTATAAAAACTGCCCAAGACTCCTGATTTGGTCTGCTACTTTTTCTCTTCCTCAATTCTCTTAAGGTATATTTTCAGATAAATATAATGATGTGTTTCAGTTCAACTTATAATCCGGTTTCGTCCTTTTGAGGATGAAATTTGTCATTTGAAACCCCACCCTGGCTTTTGCCAGGGGCCGCAATATAGGCAGGCAATAAATATGGCTAATTGTCTGAACGCGGTTTCTCGGTCCTCTCCACGGTGATCCTCATCCGCACTTTGTGTCATCAGGTGTTTATCGCTTGTGTGATGTCCTAGTGGGGTAGAAAGTCAGTCAGCCAATCTGTTCAACTCAAGGACTATCTCTCAGTCCTTAAGAAAGAAAATAGAGGTATTTGTGCTAAAATGCTATAGAAAGATTCTCAAAAAACCATAGACAAAGAAGAGAAGAAAACTGACATTTAAAAACATCTGAACATCAAGAAAGATTGGCTAATAAACAGCATCTTGTCTCCGAAGCTGACATATTTTAATCATATCAAGCACCATGGTGAATTGGAAAAAATAAAAGCGAAAGACATGGTACCAGGAAGGAGTGGGTAGGGGCCAACCAATATGAAGATGGGCACAGGATATAAATGACTTTTTGAATATGAAAGTGCACGAGGCGGGAGAGCTGCCAAGAGACGGGGTTTCTTTCGGGCAAACCATGATGAGAGCCATGTTCTGCAAAGGAGCTGCTACATGATCTTGATCCTTCTGTTTAACACAGTTTTGAAGAAGGTCATTTAAAAAAAAAAATTTTATGAGGTGAAAGGGTTAAGAACGCCCATCCCACAAAACAACAAATCACCACCACCTCCTCCATTTTCTTTTTCTTCATCTACGTCTTCTTGTGTCTAGAGTGTGTCATGTGTCGGAAATTAGTTATCATAACTAACAATCAGTTCTCTCCTTTTCTCCCCCCCTCTTTTCTTTTCTTCTCTTCTTGTGTCTAACTCAGATAATAGCTATGATGACACTCCACTCCTCTCTGTTTTCTTATTTAAAAAAAATTTAGTAATGCTTACACTCATTTTATCATTTGTTACCTGTTGGTTTAAGCTTCCCACAAATATCTTTCTCAGTTTTTACTGCCTTTCGTACCAATTTCCACATACAAAGCTCAATTCTGACTCTTCTGTTGATATGTGATATGCTGTGTAATTTTCATTTGTCCTTACTTTAGGCTTTAAAAAATAATATTTTTGCAACAGATGTAGCTGGCAATGACTCAGTGTTTGATTTCATCCTTGTCTGTAATATCCTCTAAATTCTTCTCAAAAAAACCACATCTCAGATGCCGTAATTTTCTTCACAATTTTATTATGCACTGTCAAGCATTCACAGCCATTCAAAAGACTCTGTGCATTTTTGAAACCTTATTTTCTTGTGTTCTGTGTTTCAGCTTTCTTATCACCCTGGCCATGAGGATTTGGTTGGGTACATTATCGACCAGTGCTTCAAGCATTTCAAATATAGAGATGGGTGAGTTACAGCAAGAAATTTTGTTGGATCAGGTTTTACGCCTTTAGTTTTATTTTTCCTAAAATGCTAATAGAAATGGTTGGGGCATTTTGAAAGAATGTCAGATGACAGAGAAGTAAAACCTGTATATACAAGGGAGATGAATGGTCGTAGACTATGAGGCAGACCAAGAAGAAGATGGAGAAATAGTGTCAAGACAGACCTGCAGACACTTGGTGTCACCATTTAGAGATGAATGGAGGCAGGTAATATCTGCAGCAATGAACCTCACGGGCTCAGAATGCTGAAGAAAAAGAAGATAAAGTTTTATTTTTCATGGTGTGGTAATTTCAGACAGAGGTGTAGGAAAACTAAGGCCATTATGATGTGTTTAACGAGCACTTCATACCTCCCCGTGGGCGCCAGCAAGGGCTGTGCTGGTTTTACAGATCCTTATGCAAGACTCCTGCCACACGTCCCCATCGTGTGCTACGGATAAAGACCTGTATTGGCCTGAACCAAACTGGCAGGTGATCTCAGCGTTGGTGGTTCCCAGAGATGCGGTGCCCAGAAATCTTCTGGCCCTTGTCAGCCCAGCTCATGTATATAGATGATAACATAATACATAGAAAACATTTGGAACATAAGTAAAGTCTGCTGGCTGAATACTCTACTAAATGACAAATTCAGGTCCAAATGTCTGTTGTCTGAAAGTCCTACTATATGACAAACCTTGGTTCAGATGTATGTCGACAGAGACTTGTAATGTATAGCTGCTTAGATTCTAATATCCGTCCATCGAGTGTCCTGCTGTATGACAGCCAAGATTCAGATGTCTCTGGCTCATGTATCCTTCTTTATGACACAAAAGATTATAACATCTGCTAACACTGGCTACACTCATTGGAATGTAATGACCCTACAGAGAAGTCGTGCATAATGCACGCTGCCCATAAATGCAGCAAAAAGTTCCCGTAGCATCCACATAAAAGGTGTTTGTAGGGAACCATTTTCTCCCTGATAAGTAATAAACAGAAAATGAAACAACAAAAACCATTCTTCATGACGGGCGAACACACACAATCAGCGCTGGCCGGCAGCTTCCGTAAGTTCTTGCTGATTTCCAGGTAGGGCTTTGGAAACTTCACAGACACATCAGATGCAAACTTGATACAAATACTTCTCCGCTCTACATGCATACAGTTTCTTGGCCCAAACGAGACTGCCCACCCGCTCTTTCTCAGGCCTTATATAATATTCTGTCGCCCACATTATAATTATGCCTACATCAGAATTTCTCGTGTTTTCCAATTTGCACAGGTTTCATTTGGTCAACATTTTCCCCGTGCATCTCGCCTTCCTGCTCGTTAAATTCAAATATCTCATTCATATTTTTTACCTGACCTCATTTTTACTGTAACATAACTTATCAGGGAGAAAATGGTTCACTACACCCTCCCTAGTAATAAACAGGGTCATTGCAGTGTCTTCTATTATGAGTTTAACTTTGTCGAAGAAAGTCACTGAACTTTAATAAACATAACACTAGCATGCAAGAGTTGCCTCAAATATTTTCTAATGAGACTCGGGGTGTTTTCCTAATTAATAGACATAAGCATCAAAGTGGAGTTAAATGTGTCACTGTAGCATCTTGAGAGAGCAAGTCCGTGTAAGTTTGTTGTGTAAAAAATATTTGTGTGTTTTGAAAGCAAAATACACAAAATAATAATAGCTCAGCAGCGAGCTTCAAAATACAATCTTTCTTCTCTGTCATACAGTTTGCAGTCAAACCCAAATGCTACCAATGTCAACATTATCTCAGACCTGTACGCCGAGGTTCTGGGTGTTTTGGCAAATTCCAGGTAATGTAATAGTATTTATAAATGTTTCTTCAATATATGTTTCTTTAATAATTGTTTCTTGAGTAAATATTTGTTCACCTTCATATAAAGGGGACAAAATAGTAACACTATAATCTTCTTCTTTGCTTGTCTGAGGATATAATTGCATTTTCTGTTTATGGTATAGTATTTGTGCCTTTTGACTGACACAGGCATAAGTTTTTGTCATAAGGGGAGGTGAAATAGGTAAAGGACTTTTTTCCACGCCTTAAGGTGTATTTGGCATAAAGAGCCAGACCTATGTTTTAAAGATTAGTCGGCACTTGGTGGTGATGTGGTCGACATCACACCAGTCACCTTTACTTTACTTTGTATCCACTCAATGCTTGGTCCACCTGGGAGTCAGGTTTAAAAAAAAAAAGAAACTCCGTTTGAATTTGCAGTTGAGTGTCTAGCCGTGACACCACGCAATATGTCTCCAGAGCACGACTGAAAGTATTTCTTTCTGTAGCCATTTCTCCAGCCCCATATGCTTTCATAGCCGATGGATCTTCACTGTCTTGTATCCACATTTGCAGAGGTCTCTGCTCCTGTATTATTTTGTGGGGACTGTACCCTGCATCACATTTCTCTGCAGGCCACTATGATGTTTAACACGGCTGTAATATCACAGCTTTTGGGTCATGATGCTGTTTGTGAGCCAGTTCTCCTTGAAATCAGTCCGGATGCTGCAAATGAAATTGAACAAGACTCACTACAAATAATATCTGTGTAACTTGACAGGTGACTCATCTATGGGCCAAATGAATGTCCAAGACCTAAAACAGGTGGCAACGAACCGCCAGACATGGAGAGCTATGACCTCTGCCCTATGCACCGCCCTAGACTCAAGAGGAAAGACTAACTAACTTGACAGGAAACAGCAGTTAATAATTAAGCCATATTATTTTGACCGTGCATTTTCCCTATTCCAGATTTCTGGCTGTACGCAAGAAGTTTATGAGCGAGCTGAAGGAGCTGAAGCTGCGGGATCAGACTCCTTACACGGCACAGAGTATCATCAGTTTGCTTATGGGCCTGAAATTTTTTAGGGTCAAGGTGGGTCTCCTCTTTCCTCTTTTATAAGTGTTGGGAAATGAACAGGCGAACAGACTGGCTGGCTCTGCAAAACTTGGTGAAATACTGATATATGATAAGGCAGACGTGGTTAGTGCCTTGTGGGAGAGCGTGTACAGTTCGGAGGAGCAGATGGATCACCACAATCTGGTGAGATTGATGCAGGGAGGAGTGACGAGAAGTTCTGGCAGATGCTCGAGGCTCAGAGGAAAGGCAGGATGGACGTTAAATCAGAATGCTACCGGCACCATTAGTATCGGAACTCTTCGCTGGCTGCTGGAGATGGGGGGGCGGAGCGCTTATGGGAATGCCCCGAGTGCTGTGATGTCGGTTCTTGAATCAAATCAAATCAAATCAAAATCTTTAGAAGTCTTCAGTTGGTTATTCTCCATTTTACCCGTGTGCAATGATGTTTATCCTTTGAATAAACCACAAACCATGGTTATTCAGTTGTTTATGATTTTTCGGTCTACCCATATTTCTCCAACCCTTTGTCTTTTGAAAGTAAAATACAGTGGTACCTTGGTATACATCCTTTATCCATTAGATATCCTTGGACTTTTACCAAACAGGACGCATGCCAAACAAATTTTCCAACAATAAACAAAGGCAGAATGATTCAACCATTCCCATAAAAAAAACTTATTGTTGTTGGCATATTAAAATAATACTGCTTAATACTAAAATCCATAAATACAAAAGCAGTTAGATCAAATAAATGAAAATTTAACCTCACTTTACCTAGACGCCCACCTGCTGATAAGAAGGTCATGGGTTCGCGTCCTGGCGGAGCCAGAATTTTTAATAAAGTGACCTTGAGTCCTGGAAGGTATGATGCTGACCACATCACTCACCAAGTGCCGATTGGTCTATAAAAATATAGGTCTAGCCCTATATTCCTAGTACGCCTAAAGGTTTGGAAAAGGAACCTTTTTACCTGGCTGAGAAGAGTCGAGTGCCTGCTAGGGTTGGTGCTCGGAAGGGAGGAGAGGAGATGTCCCCTTCCAGTAAAACTTCAATTAATCTGAAATTCTGGTGCTTTTTTCTTTTTGTGTGTGTGTGTGTGTGTCTCTTTCCTACTTGGACCTGTTTGAGGCTCACAAGCTCTAGCATGCGAATCATATTCCAAGCAAATTTCTAATGCCAAGCAACATTTTGTGTGTCTAATCAGGAGCTACACCAAGTTGGACTAATATTCTTTCAGTGGTCTTCTTTCCTATATGACTTCTGATTTCTTGTTTTCCTAGATGCCTCTTCCTAGTTCCAATACTTTATCTTATTTCCTTTGTTGTGCTTCTGTAGTCCAGCTGCCATATTTATGCTTGCTTCTGATGTTAAAGGGGGGGGGGTCACTATAGAGCGGTGGCTCGTTGCTAACCCGGTAGCCTTTTGTTAACCGAGTCTAAAGTGCCGATTTGCTACAAAATATAGGTCTAGCCCTCTATGCCCAATAAGCCTGAGAGCGTGAAAAAGAGTCCTTTACCTATCGGTCTAATTTTTCATACATTAGCGTTAGCCTGAAGAAATTTATGTCATTCACTCAACGTGGTTACTAAATGTACCTACAGATGCACCCCATTGAGGAGTTTGAGCTGTGTGTGCAGCTGCTTCTGGAGCTTGGACATTATTTCCTAGAGGTGAAAGACAGGGATATCAAGCATGCTTTGGCTGGACTGCTTGTAGAGATTCTGCTGCCGGTGGCTGCTGTAAGTTGGATCTTGCGTGATTGTCAGTCATAAAAGGGGGAGGGGGGGGGGTGGTTGGGGTTAAAAAAGGAGGGAGGTGAAAGGGAAGACAGAGATCACCCACAAATGGAATGTTTTGGTTGTGCTGCTTGTGGAGTACTTGCTGCCGGTGGCTGCTGTAAGTTGGATCTTGCATGATTGTCATTCAAAAAATAAAGGGGTGGGGGAGGGGAAGGGTGTTTAATAAAAAGAGGGAGGTGAGAGGGAAGACAGAGACTACCCACAAATATAATGTTTTGGTTGGGGCTGCTTGTGGACTTGCTTTCAGTGGCTGCTGTTAAGTTTAGGCTTGCATAACTGTCATTCAGAGAGAGAGAGAGAGAGAGATGGAGACAACTGTTGTGTGTGTGTATATATATATATATGTATATATATGTATATGTATATATATATATATATATATATATATATATATATATATATATATATATATATATATATATATATATATATATATATATATATATATATATATATATATATAGATATATATATATATACACATACAATATAGAGAGAGAGAGAGAGAGAAAGAGATAGACCACTCACTCTCTCTCTCTCTCTCTCTCTATCTATATATATATATATATATATATATATATATATATATATATATATATATATATATATATATATATATATATATATATATATATATATATATATATATATATATATATATATATATATATATATATATATATATATATATATATATATATATATATATACTTATCTGATTTTAAAGCTTGTCTAGAAAACAGGTTTTTAAATAAGTTTACATTAGTTGACTTTACCAGTTTTGTGTTTATCTGTAACTTAAAAAGAAACAGTTTGTCAAAAAACACCCCATATCAATGACTTTTTCCTCCCAGACTGCAAAGAATGAAGTGAACATTCCTGTCTTGAAAAAACTGGCAGAAGATTTGTATTCTGTGACCGTGGACATGGCGACCAAGAGAAAGCACACTCTGGTATGTTAACATATTTTAGAGACCTAGTTCTGTAAGCCTAAACCGTAACACTAAATTCTAACCCCTAACCTTAACCTTTCTTTGCTAGATAGTTACACTGGTTGGTAGACCTAGTTCTGTAACCCTAAACCGTAACCCTAACCCCTAACCTTAACCTTTGCTAGATAGTTACACTGGTTGGTAGACCTAGTTTCTGTAACCCTAAACCGTAACAGTAAATTCTAAAACCGTAACCTTTCTTTCGCTACACTGGTTGGTAGACCTAAACCCTTCTAAATTCTAACCCCTAACCCTAACCTTTCTTTGCTAGATAGTTACACTGGTTGGTAGACCTAGTTCTGTAACCCTAAACCGTAACACTAAATTCTAACCCCTAACCTTAACCTTTCTTTGCTAGATAGTTACACTGGTTGGTAGACCTAGTTCTGTAATCCTAAACCGTAACACTAAATTCTAACCCCTAACCTTAACCTTTCTTTGCTAGATAGTTACACTGGTTGGTAGACTTAGTTCTGTAACCCTAAACCGTAACATTAAATTCTAACCCCTAACCCTAACTTTTCTTTGCTAGATAGTTACACTGGTTGGTAGACCTAGTTCTGTCCCTAAACCGTAACACTAAATTCTAACCCCTAAATTTCTCAGATATACACTGGTTGGTAGTTTGTAAACTCTTTAGTCTGTTGTAGAAGTTACTCTGTTGCCTATAACTAAACCAACATAACCCCTAAAACCTTTCTTTGCTAGATAGTTACACTGGTTGGTAGACCTAGTTCTGTAACCCTAAACCGTAACACTAAATTCTAACCCCTAACCCTAACCTTTCTTTGCTAGATAGTTACACTGGCTCTTCGTAAATCCTCAGGAATACTGAGTTTGTAACTCTCTAGTCTGTTGTATAGTGTGCATATTATCCTCATAACAGATCCATATCATTTGGATATTAAATGAGGAGGCCAAATGTGGCCATTGCCTGGGAAAATGTCATAGTGAGAAACTACCCACAACAAAATGTTTATAAAATGACTGAGGATTCAGCTGTATACATACGGAGATCCTTGCCACTGCAGCAGGAGTTCTTCCACTGAGGTCGTTGAGAACATTCTAGAGCAGTCTTTCCCATTTAGAACAGAACAAATTTATGGGGTCCATAATATCGTTTAGAAAAACCTCAACCCTCTTTTGTGTGTGTGTGCGCGCGTGCGTGCGGGTAGGGGTGAGTGGGTACGGGAGAGAGAGAGATTCTAATATAATTTACTCCTTTGTAAAAAAAAAAAAAAAAGGAAACATTTTTTATTTTTATTTTAAGTGTCACTAAAATTAGAATTCTTTACCTTGTGGGTCATGTAACATACAGACAGAGACTCTCTTATGGTCACAATTTTAGGGTAATAGGTAAGTAAAGGGACTTTTTTTAAATTTATAAACACTAGTGGCCTATCAGGTATTGAAATATTAACTCATATTTGTATAAGCCAGTCAGCCCTTGATGGATGATAATGTCACCATTACACTGACTGCCTTTACTGTACAGCGCTTAACCTTGTATCCATTTGATTTTGGGTTGAACGAGCCAAGTTCATTTTTGGAAAAATAAAATGGTGCAGATTTGAACCCAAGACCTTTGGTCCAGAGACAGAGGTGAAGGTAATTATTGCCTAACAGTAAACAGTAAGACAGCTTATTGCGAGTTGGTTTAGGGCCTATGCCTCATTTGTGGAGTTGAGTCAAGAATTGACATCACTGCATTCGGGGCATTTCCATGTGTGCTCCGTCCTCATCTTCAGCAGCTAGCGCAGAGTTCCAGTACTGATGGTACCGGTCACAATCTGGTTATATGTCCGCCTTGCCTTTCGTCTGAGTGTAGTGAGCCAGCCAGAGCCTCTGGTTTCACCCAGATGCCTCATTCTCTCCAGGCCATAATGATCTTCTATCTCTACTGATTCCGTTGCTTGTTCCCAAAGGGCCTTGACGACCTCTGCCTCTCTTATGGATAAAAGCAGAAGATGCAGAAGAAGACAAATTGCCTAACACAGAAAGAGTTTTATTTTTATTCTTTTATTTACATTTTCCCCCTCAATTTTAATATGAAAAACACATGATTTACCTGATAATAAATGTCATTGTTCTGACAGCACCTGTACCCTCTAGTCACCTGCTTGCTGTGTGTCAGTCAGAAACAGTTTTTCCTCAACAACTGGCACTACTTCCTGTCCATGTGCCTGTCTCAGCTCAAGAATCGGGATGTGAAAATGTCACGTGTTGCCCTGGAGTCACTGTACAGACTGCTGTGGTATTGTAACACTTAAAGTGGTCATTTTGGGGGGGGTCTTTTTTGGGGGGTTTGCACTTTGTTTGTCATGCTTTTGTTATATGGTATTTTTGTGTGTGCTTGAATTGATCATTTTTTCCTTTGTGCACTTCAATTGGTCTTGTTTTCTGTTTGTGTCCATTTTAATTGATCATGCCTATTTATCTCTACTTGAATTGATTACGTTCTCTTTGTGTGTTCGCCTACCATGTTTGTTGGTGTATAAGACATATTTGTCCTCCTCGAAAAAGGCCTTAAAAGTACGCTGCGTTTCATACAAGGAAGGTAGTCCTACATGTGCGTATTTTTTTTAAATTCGCCAGCACACCAGTTTTTCTCTTCCAAGAGGCATTCTTGTATGTTTATGCCCACTGAAATTGGACATTCTTGTCCAGTTGTGCCAACTTAAATTTGTCATTCTTGTTTATTTGTTTCCACTTAAATTGGACATTCTTGTTTGTCTGTGCCCACTACAATTCTTCATCCCTGTCCAGTTATGTCCAGTGAAATTGGTCATTCTTGTCTGTTTATGTTTACTTAAATTGGTCACTTCTTGTCTGTTTTTGACCACTTAAAATTGTCATTGTTGTCTGTACCCAACCTAAAGTCATAATTCTTGTATATTTGTGCCCACTGAAATTGGTTTTACTTGTCTGTTTGTGTCCACTTAAATTGGTAATTCTTGTCTGTTTGTGCCCACTTACATTAGTCATTCTTGTCTGTTTGTGTCCACTTACATTAGTCATTCTTGTCTGTTTGTGTCCACTTACATTAGTCATTCTTGTCTGTTTGTGTCCACTTACATTAGTAATTCTTGTCTGTTTGTGCCCACTTACATTAGTCATTCTTGTCTGTTTGTGTCCACTTAAATTGGTAATTCTTGTCTGTTTGTGTCCACTTACATTAGTCATTCTTGTCTGTTTGTGTCCACTTAAATTGGTCATTCTTGTCTGTTTGTGTCCACTTACATTAGTCATTCTTGTCTGTTTGTGTCCACTTACATTAGTCATTCTTGTCTGTTTGTGTCCACTTACATTAGTCATTCTTGTCTGTTTGTGTCCACTTACATTAGTCATTCTTGTCTGTTTGTGTCCACTTACATTAGTCATTCTTGTCTGTTTGTGTCCACTTACATTAGTAATTCTTGTCTGTTTGTGTCCACTTAATTAGTCATTCTTGTCTCTTTGTGTCCACTTACATTAGTCATTCTTGTCTGTTTGTGTCCACTTACATTAGTCATTCTTGTCTGTTTGTGTCCACTTACATTAGTCATTCTTGTCTGTTTGTGTCCACTTAAATTGGTAATTCTTGTCTGTTTGTGTCCACTTACATTAGTCATTCTTGTCTGTTTGTGTCCACTCACATTAATCATTCTTGTCTGTTTGTGTCCACTTACATTAGTCATTTTTGTCTGTTTGTGTCCACTTAAATTGGTAATTCTTGTCTGTTTGTGTCCACTTACATTAGTCATTCTTGTCTGTTTGTGTCCACTTACATTAGTCATTCTTGTCTGTTTGTGTCCACTTACATTAGTCATTCTTGTTTGTTTGTGTCCACTTACATTAGTCATTCTTGTCTGTTTGTGTCCACTTACATTAGTCATTCTTGTCTGTGTCCACTTACATTAGTCATTCTTGTCTCTTTGTGTCCACTTACATTAGTCATTCTTGTCTCTTTGTGTCCACTTACATTAGTCATTCTTGTCTGTTTGTGTCCACTTACATTAGTCATTCTTGTCTGTTTGTGTCCACTTACATTAATCATTCTTGTCTGTTTGTGTCCACTTACATTAGTCATTCTTGTCTGTTTGTGTCCACTTACATTAGTCATTCTTGTCTGTTTGTGTCCACTTACATTAGTCATTCTTGTCTGTTTGTGTCCACTTACATTAGTCATTCTTGTCTGTGTCCACTTAAATTGGTAATTCGTGTCTGTTTGTGCCCACTTACATTAGTCATTCTTGTCTTTTTGTGTCCACTTACATTAGTCATTCTTGTCTGTTTGTGTCCACTTAAATTGGTAATTCTTGTCTGTTTGTGCCCACTTACATTAGTCATTCTTGTCTGTTTGTGCCTACTAAAACTGATCGTTCTTGTCTATTTGTGTCCAGTTAATTTCATAATTTGGGTCTGTTTGTAACCACTTAAATTAGTCAATTTTGACATTTTATGTCCACTTAAATTAGTCATTCTTGTCTATTTTTTGCCCTCTTAAATTTGTCATTCTTGTCTATTTTTGCCTACTTAAATTGGTATTTCTTGTCATTTTGTGCCACCTAAATTGTTTTATATATCATCATATGTTTTAAAGAAAGAAACACATGAAATATGTTCTGTTTCAGGGTGTACATGGTGAGAATCAAATGTGAGAGCAATACTGCCACCCAGAGTCGTCTGCAGAGCATTGTCAACAGTTTGTTCCCCAAGGGTTCAAAACTGGTCACACCAAAAGACATGCCGCTGAATATTTTTGTCAAAATTATTCAGTTCATTGCTAAGGTAAGAGTTTTATAATTTGTTTTTACTAAATGGTCATGTGACCGACAGCGAATACCTGATTGCCAGTTTTTTTTGGCAAAAGTTTGACAATTTTTATTTATTCATTTTATATTTATACTTTTGCTAAAATATATATTGAGAGCACATTTTGAACAGTGTCGCTTCTGTCTGAGCAGGTTAGACTTTTTATC